GTTCAGACGGGATTTAGGACTGTCATTATAGTGTGTGGGGTCATTAAATATAAGGTATTTACATAAGCATAGATATGAAGTCTATCTCAGTAAAACAAAGGCAACAGAGAGGGCACAGAATTCTGTGAATCGGAAAGTGTTTGTAGACTGAAGGAAATGTGGAGACTAGAGGCCAAAAATGATAAGAATTGATATTTATATCGTTAACTCTGGTCCCTGGGTCATTGAGGTCGGACTGAATCAAGCACTTCCTTCCCTCCTTGCTTTCTTCTCTATTAATTACCACTTGTTAGTATGAAGATTTATTTTATCTTTTAAACTATGTGTATGTATGTGAATCTGCATGTGGGTATGCACACATGAGTGCAAGTGCACACAGAGGCCAGAAGAGGGCAACAGATCCCCCTGGACCAAGTCCTCTGAAAGAGCAGCAAATGCTTTTAATCACTGAGCCATTACACCAGCCCCTCTACTAATCTTTAGACAAGAAGCTCCACCTGAAGTGGCACCTTCAGAACCAGGCTCAAGGCTTGGTTATTTCATCCGGGGATACTAAAATGTGACCCCCACATTCTCACCATCAGAATTCCCATGGAGACTGTGAGACATAAAGTTTCATGTCCCCATGCTGAGCCTCTTAGGACAGCATTTTCTTAGTCATGGGGCTACAGAAGGTTTTGATGTTAAAACACCCGATGTTAAAAGGAACACAGTCAGATCCTGTCCTACAATGACTTGATGTACCAGGGTGGGTTGGTACCCAGGGGGTGTGGTAGATGGTGGGGCTATGTGAGGTAAGGACTTGGAGGATGGGGAGGGTTGCAATCTGGATGTAAAGTGAAGGAGCGGGTAGAATCTGTACATGCTAGTGCTCAGCTCACCTGATCCTCTGTCACAAAGTCCAGACCCAGGATGCTGGTGCCCACAATGCAAGGGTCTTCCCACATTAATTAAACCAATCAAGATATGTATGTTGGCTAGTCTTAGGTCAACTTGACACACAAACTTAGAGTTATCCAAATGAAAAGAACCTTGAGAAAATGCCTCCCTAAGATCCAGCTCTAAGGTATTTCTTTAATTAGTGATTGATGAGGGAGGACCCAGTGCATTGTGGGTGATGCCGTCCCTAGGCTGCTGGTCCTGGGTTCTATAAGAAATCAGGCTGAGCAAGCCATGGGAAGTAAGCCAGTAAATAGCATCCTTCTATGGCCTCTGCATTAGCTGCTGCCTCCAGGTTCCTACCCTGCTTGAGTTCCTGTCCTGACTTCCTTTGATGATGAATAATACGGACATGTAAGGCAAATAAACCCTTTCTTCTGCTGTTGAAGAGTCCTGTTATTAAGGTTGCAGTCCCCCATGATCAATGGCTTTCTGAGCTCAGCGTGTAATGGAGGATTCCCTTTCTCAGGAGGGCTTCCTTGTCTTTGCCTGACTTTGTCTGGAAAATGTCCCTTAACACAAGTGGCTGGCCATGTCTGAAAAGTGACCTTGTACAGAGCTCTCTGCAAAGCTGTATAAGTCCCTCTCTGGCTTCTGCATGATAATTAGGTACTGTATTATAACCAATCAGCCCTTTCTGTCCACTTGATGCTATGACTAATTAGCCCTTTCCACCTCTACCCCTAAAAAAGCCCTATGTTCCCTATCCCTGGAACAATAAAGTAGACTTGTCTCATGGCAACAGTCTCCAGAAATCCTTCCGTTATAGTCATGGCCTTCTGAATCCTTCTCCCTTTGTCCTTGTGGGCTGGTGGCCAACAGCCTCCAAAAGAGAAGGGAGGGTCCATCCAATTTGCTTTTTGGTCATGGTGTTTCATTGCAGTCATAGAAACTCTAACAAAACATCCCTAGACTTATCCACAGTCCAACATCATCTAGACAATCCCTCAATGACACTCTCTTCTCAGGTGACTCCAGATTGTGTCAAGTTGACATTTAAAAGTAACCATTAATCTGCGTTTGACTCATTGAGTGACGGCTACCATCCATACCCTGTAAACCCCAACCCCCACCACAGTCCAGTTGTACAAGATGCAACGGTTTCATATGTTAATGCCTGCTGTGGTGGGCAGGGAGGGACCAGTGTCACACACAGCAGGAAGCCAAGACAAAGCTTCTTTAGGGAAGCAATAGGTTGGGACACTGGAGGACAATTGGGACATCAGTCAGAAAATGGGAAGAGGAAGTGAAAGTAGAGGTCTCTTGTTAGGGGAGGATGCTCTACTGAAACATGGAGTCTGCAGTGAGCATGGGGGTGGAAGGCAGAGAGAAGAACAATAGGGAGTTTGCTAGAAAATTCTGAGATTCCCAGGACCTGAAGGGATCTCTTCCTCCTCAGATTAATGTCAGGCTTAGAAGGAGCTGCAGCTAACAAAGTGGTACAGAATAAAGGAGAAGAGCCAGGCGAATGCAGATATGGATCCGTTGGTAGAACATCTGTCTGGCATGTATGAAGCGCTGGGTCCTAGCCCCACCACACATAAACTGGTTATACTGGCATGTGCCTGTCATCCCAAGACTTGGAAGGTAGAAGCAGGTGAATCAGGTCATCCTCAACTACATAGCAAGTTTGAGGCCAGCCTGGGCTCCTTGTCAAGGAAGGAAGGAAGGCAAGGAGGAAGGGAGGGAGGGAGGGAGGGA